CCACGGCTGCCCCGCGGCCTCTGACCGCCACCCCACGCTGAGCCCAGTCGCGCTCTAGTTACCGGTGCCCAGGCCGTGTGTCCTGATTGGTGACCGAGCCTCCCGGTTTGCCCAGCCCTGAGGGGGATCCCGGGACATGGGCCTTTCAGTGGAAAAGCCGGAACGTCCGAGGTCACCGGGGCGGCTGGTCACCAGTGTGGTTCTCACCTTGGGCTGCACGTTAGTGTCGCCTGGGGTCTTTCACACAGACCCCTAGAAATAGAAAAATAAACTAAAAATTTGAAATGCCACTGCCGGTAGCCGTCACCGAAGACTTCTGACTTCACTGGTCTGGGACGGGAGGCACGGGCGTGTTTCAGGAGCACCCACGGGAGCCTCACGTGCAGCCTGGCCTCCCCGATGGGGCAGAGAGCGAGCAAGGCCCCTGGCTGAGCACCTATCCAGTGCCAGGTGTGGTGGTCATCACCACCATCATCACCACCATCCCATCATCAGTACCTGCTGGGCCAGGCTGTGCTGGGAGCCGGACATGGATGATCTCCTTTCACCCTCAAGAGTAATGCCCCCATTTTCCAACTGAGCCTCGGAGCGGTTCCATCCCTGGCTCAGGCTCACACAGCCGGTGGCTGCCAGGGCAGGCTGTAGCCTGGTGCACGCAGATCAAGGCTCTCCCAGGCAGCAGAGCAATAGAGCAAAGCCAAAGGAGGGGGGGTTCCGGAGGGGAGAGGTGGGTGGAGGAGGGGAGGCAGGCACCTCTCTTAGGTCCTCTGGCTGGGCCTGGGGCTGCTTTTTCTTTTCTTTTTAATATATTTTATTGCTTTCTTACAGAGAGGAAGGGAGAGGGATAGAGAGTTAGAAACATCGATGAGAGAGAAACATCGATCAGCTGCCTCCTGCACACTCCCTACTGGGTATGTGTCTGCAACCAAGGTACATGCCCTTGACCGGAATCGAACTTGGGACTAAAGCTCTATCCATTGAGCCAAACCGGTTAGGGTGGGGCTGCTTTTTCATAAGAAACCACTAGGGGGTGGCAGTGGTCAGCAAGCCACCTGCAGCGCCCCCAGCCTGGGCCCGGACACCTGCAGCCACTTCCACCAGGTCCAGACGCTGCCAGCTCCTGCCCTTGAGGATGGCGGACAGTCAAGTCGTAGATCTTTGCCCTTTTCCAGCCCCAGCACTCTGCCTGCTCCCAACCTGAGGCCGCCTGCCTCCTGGAGGGTGTTTTAAAAGCCCCAGAACACCGTCTTGGCACAGTCTCTGGGGACCAGGCTGGCCACAGGCCCATCCCCTCATTCAACAGTCTCTGTCGAGCATCTTCTGTAAGCCCAACGCGGCTGCTGTCCTGGGGATGCAGCAGTCGAGGAGGCAGACAAAAGTTCTGCCTTCGTGGAGTGTGTATTCCAGTCGGGGAGCTAATCACCAGCAGATGTAAATGTGGAACACATCCGGTGTGACAAGTGCTGACATATGGTGACGGACCATCCTGGACTTTCCTAGTTTTACAACCGGAAGTCTCAAGTCCCAGGAAACCCCGCAGCTCCAGACAAACCAGGATGGTTGGCCTCCCTCGTGGAAGAAGAAAAAGTAAAAGGGGAATGAGGGAGAGTGGTGCGTGTGCATGTGCGTGTGCGTGTGCGTGTTTAAAAGGAATATCAAGGAAGGCCTCACTGGGAAGTTAATGCTTGAAAACAACCTCAAGGTAGGAAATAGGGAGGGAGCTGTGCAGACATCTGGGGGAAGAGCATTCCAGGCGGGGGGAACAGCCAGTGCAAAGGGCCTGGGGCAGGAGCCTGCCTGGTGTGTGCAAAGAACAGTGAGGAGGCGAGTGGCTGGAGCAGAGTAGACAAGAAGGAGATGGCAGATGTTAGATGATCCCTAAGCCAAGGTTGGGGTCAGGGGAGGCAGGCGGGAGGCCTTCAGAGGGCTGAGCGAGAGGGGAGTCATTGGAGGGTCTGGTTCGTTTGAACAAACCCTCCTGCTGCTTGTTGCAATAGACGAGTGATGGCGAACCTTTTGAGCTCGGCGTGTCAGCGTTTTGAAAAACCCTAACTTAACTCTGGTGCCGTGTCACATAGAGAAATGTTTTGATATTTGCAACCATAGTAAAACGAAGATTTATATTTTTGATATTTATTTTATATATTTAAATGCCATTTAACAAAGAAAAATCAACCCCAAAAATGAGTTTGCGTGTCACCTCTGACACGCGTGTCGTAGGTTCGCCGTCACTGCAATAGACCAAGGGGGCGAGCGTGGCAGCAGTTCGCAGGCTGCTGCAAGGTCCCAGTGAGAGAGGTGGTGGCTGACGCCAGGGCTGGAGCGGTGGTGGGGAGGGACAGCCTTCTGATTGATTGTGGAGGGGGATGGAAGAGGCTCCCCACAGTGGATGGGGGGAGAGAGGGGGAGCCAGCGCAGACCGGGCCCTCTGACCTGAGACGTGGAGGAGGAGCTGCCACTGACCCGAGGTGAGAGACTGTCAGGGGGCGGGGTGGGGGGACAGGAGGGGAGCGGCACATCCATCCAGAGCTCTGCCGTGACGTGCCACTCACATCGAGGTGCCCTCACGGTCACGGCCAGTGGTGGGTATCTGGGCTCAGGCGCCAGGTCTGGGCTGGGGTGTAGACGTGGGAGCCGTCATCTCAGAGATGGGGTTTAAAGTGTGCATGAGACTAAAGGAAGAGGTCCAAGGACTGAGCCCTGAGCACCCCAACATTCTAACTACACACTCCACAACATTCTAGCTATGTGCACCCTGACATTCTAACTACATGCACCCCCACATTCTAGGTAACTCACCCGAACATTCTAACTATACTCACCCCGAAATTCTAGCTGCACTCACCCTGACATTCTAACTAGACACTCCCTAACATTCTAGCTCATGCACCCCGACATTCCAACTGCACTCACCCCAACATTCTAGGTAACTCACCCCAATATTCTAACTACACATTCCCCAACATTCTAGCTACATGCACCCTGACATTCTAACTATATGCACCCCAACATTCTAACTGCACTCACCCTGATATTCTAGCTGCACACCCCCCGACATTCTAACTACGTGCATCCCTATATTCTAGCTGCACTCACCCCAACGTTCTACTTTTTAAAAAAAGAAAATGGAATTTATTTAAGGAAAAGTGGACGGGGGATGGGACTATCCAAAGCGGAGGGCTACACCGCACTGGGCCAAGGGTATTGGGTCCAGGATGGCAGCAAAAATATGCCTGGGACAGTGACACAAGGACGGGCCTAGAAGAAGCAACAGGAGAGCATGGGCGGGGCTGCTCTAGCTTACTGAGGTCAGAGGAAAGGGCCTTGGAGACGGGTTCAGGGGTTGGCCTGGGGCGGGCTACCACTGCCCATGGCTCCCCTGGTTGCAAGTCTCATGGGGTCCCTTAGAGGTTGGGGGGTACGCGCCTGTGGGGGGATGGCATGGACACGCTCATTGGAGGGGGAGTGTGCCTCACACCGACATTCTAACTGCACTCACCCCCACATTCTAACTGCACTCACCCCCACATTCTAACTGCACTCACCCCCACATTCTAACTGCACTCACCCCCACATTCTAACCCTGAGAATTTACCCCAAGGAGACAGGTCAGAGGAGAACATGTAGAAACAGAACAATAGGAAGACACGCCAACACTGGAGGCCTTGTTTAGTTGGCATAGTCCCCCACACGGAAAGGGCTGAGTGGGCGTGCTGCAGGTGGCTACCCACCTACCAGCTGAGGACGTCCGGGTTATTCCCAGGCTGGGCAATTATGAACAACGCCACTCTGAACTATCAGCATTCGTGTTCGGGTTTTGTGTGAGCACACATTTTTCCCTCTCTAGGGTAAGTACCTAGAACCGGACCACGAGGTCGTATGGCAAGCACATGATTAACTTTCTCGGAAACTGCCAAGCTGTCTTCTAGGGGGGCTGTGCCATTTGCATTCGCATCAGCAACGACGAGCATTCCCATTGCCCGAATCCTTGCCCGCATTTGGCACGGTCGGGGTTTTGGTTGTTATATTTGTTTTTCATTTTAGCCATTCTGGTGGATGGGTACTGCTTACAGCCTTTTAAAAGTTTATGACTGGCCTTGGCTGGTGTGTTCAGTGGTTAGAGTGTTGGCCCATGCCCCCAAAGGGTCATGGGTTTGATTCCCAGTCAAGGGCACGTATCCTGCAGGCTCGATCCCAGTGGGCTTGTGCGGGAGGCAACCAATCCTTGTGTCTCTCTCACATCAATCTCTCTCCCTCTTCCTCTCTCCCCTCCTGCTCTCCCCTCCACTCTCTCTAAAAATGGGAAAAAATACCCTCAGATGAGGATTAACAATAACAAAACGTTTATGACTGTATCACAACATCACATTGTACACGTTAATCCATACAATTTTTATTTCTCAACTAGAGGCCTGGTGCACAAAATTTGTGCACTGAGGGGGGGGCGGTCCCTCAGTCCACCCTGTGCCCTCTCACAGTCCAGGAACCCATGCTCCTTACTGCCCACCTGCTTGCTGCTCATTACTGCTCAGATCGCTGCTCCTTAGCGCGGCCCCAGAGGCAAGAGAGGCTCCTGGTTCTGCTGCTGGGCTCGGCAGCTGTGAGCCCGGCTTCTGGCTGAGCAGCGCTCCCCCTGTGGGAGCACACTGACCACCAGGGGGCAGCACCTGCATTGAGCGTCTGCCCTCTGGTGGGCAGTGAGCATCATAGTGACCAGTCATAAAGGTCGCTTAGGTTTATATATATATAGATTATAGCTCAATAAAGTTGGGGGGGGGAG